TTTCCTTGGCAATGTCCTGTACTTGATCTTTGTTCAGAAACTAATCAAATATGTTTCCCCCTGATCAGCAGAGAGCATGGTCCCAGGGGTTGCCTGAATCTTTGCTTTTTATTTACTGTTCTTACATGTATATCCATGCTTGTGATAAATTTCCAATGTATAACTTATGCAAAGAGATCAACAATTTTAAAATAGATAATCATACCTGTACTATAATAAGTTAAAAGAATAATTACAACTATATTATAATAGGTTATGAAAATACGGTCTTTCTTAAACACGTATTTCATACTCTGCTCATACTTCTAGTGATGATTTGAGGCAATCCAATGCCTACACGATAACATGACATGAGCCAAATGACTAAGCACGTAAGCTCTGGTTGTAGCTTCTGCATTTGGAGGTAGTACAGCCTTCATGACTTCATGGATTAAAGATTTGTTCCTGTTATAGGCCACCACGACCTCAGCATACATGTTTTTTCTTTCTTACCTTGGAAACTAACTTTTTAAACTAAAAGTAAAACCTTACAGCGTCTCTCTAGTATATTCATGTTGCCAGCTCCTATGCTTTGAAGCCATCATTAAGTAAAATAAGGTCACGTGAACACAGGTACTATGATACAATAATAATTGATCTCAAAATCAATAGTTCTGGAATGATGAACGGGCGAACATTATAAACAATGTGCATACTCTGGATAAAGATGATTCAGGTTCTAGGTCAGACCATATAATTTCATCATGCTATTTAGGATGGTGTGTATTGTAAAGCCTTGGGGTAACAGTCTTTGAATTTTCCATATAGTATTGTTGAACCTCAGTTACGCATGGCTAGCAAACTACAGAAAGTAAAATACTCACTTCCTCGGTCATAATGACTACATTTAAAGTGCCCAGTATCCACATGTGGCTACTGCTTACCCCATTAGTTACTGCAGATACAGGCCATTGCCATCACTATAGAATGTGTCACTGGACATCACTAGTGAAGACAAAATCAATCTGATCTAATGTAAATAAATATTTATTTTGCTTCTTTCCTTATTTGTTAGGTTCTTGACACATGGTCTTACTGTGTGTCCAGGCTGGCCTTGAACTATTGGCAGTTGTCCTGTCTCAGCTTCCCAGATGCTTGAATTAGAGAGGTCACAATACTGTGCTTCTTCTCGCTTTAAACATGTTTTCTTGCTTATCCCACACACTAAAAAGACTTTAGTACTAAGGGTGTATGACATACTTCTTCAGAAAATGTGTTAGCATGTGTCATAATAAAGAATGCTATAAAACATGACTCTTAGTTGTTTTTATGTCACAGAGCCTTATTAGCTCTACTTAATGTCATCATCTTTTCTTCCAGAAAAGTGAGTTCATGTACTAAAAATGTGTTCAGGTTGGTTCTGGAGCAGGTGATGGTGATCAAGTGAAGCATACCTAAAACACAGTGAATTCTATCTATTTTCTCAGTGGCTTTAGTATAATTCTGAGTATAAAATATTAAGAACGCAGAACAAAGTACAAAATCAGCAAAGAAATAAATCCAGTCCTTTTGACTGATGTCATAACATAGAACCAATTCATCTGCCAATTCAGATTATGCAGCATGTTGGATGATTGGATTCTTTTAGCAAACTGGCTAGGTTTTCCATCAGTCTCAACCTTTCCTGACTCCACACTGAATAGTAAGAAACCTTATGGAGGGAGGAAAGGAACACTGTAGTCTTTTTCCAAATTCTAGATGTCTCATGGTGTTTCAATACAAACAATACATTACTTTGAGGCCTCGATGGTTTTTATTTATGTAGGCATTCCAAGTGAAAGGGAATGAGCCCAGGAGGACCCCTCTTTGAACTATGGGGAAGTTATGAGCAGTTCCTTTAAAAAGAACTGCAAGGAGGGCAGAACTATAAACGCAATTGGCTTTAGGTATAGCCGAGGGACAAAATCATCCATGGCTTTGAATTCCTGATTTCTGAGCCAACTTGCCTTTGTGTGGAAGAATTACTGGAGACTGCTTTCCAAAGAGTGGGAATCTGAACCATATGCAGACTGAAATTGTTGTCACATTAAACCTCAATTAAGAGACTTCTATAAGAATCACCTTTTATGTAGAGACTTTAGGAGGAAAAGCCCCCTTTCCTCTGTCCCCTGTCTGCTTTTCTTCCTTCTTTCCCTCTTTCCTTCCTTCCTTCCTTCCTTCTTTCCTTCCTTCCTTCCTTCCTTCCTTCCTTCCTTCCTTCCTTCCTTC